GCGTCTGGTGCGTGTCGGGGGGGGGGGGGATGAGTGGTGACTCAGCCGGCCGAGGGGGTGGGTGACAAGGCTCCTGGATCCCGCTCAAGCTGCTGGATCCAGCTGGGGTGCGTGGGCGAGGGCACCCGCAGACGGAGCACCCCGCTCTGCTGCCGGGGCTCTGCTGGCCCTGACTCACCCCGGGAGCACCAGTCTGGGGCTCCCAGAGAAAGAAGGTGGGGGGGGGGTATTGCAGCAACGTCTACCTTCTTAGATTTAAAAAAAGAGCCTGTGAGGAGCCAGCCCAGAAATGAGCCCTTCTCCAAAACACAACCACTCTAAGGTCCAAGTCCCAAGCTGAGGAGCTGAGAAACCTCAGTCTTTGTTTAGTCACCAGGGTCTCAGTTGGGTTTTCCAGCCTCAAATGGACTCGTTTGTCCATGGGTGATGCTGAGCACCCTGTGGGTGCTGGGGCTGGGGGGGGCTGGAGCATCCCTGGAGCCAGTCAGGGAGTTATGTTCTCCCAGCAGGTACTTCAGGGTTGGTGGATTTGGCTCTTCCTTGTGCCTTCACGTTAGATGCTTTTTCATTGCTCCCCCAACTCAGTTGTTTCTAGGCACCCCAGCTCAAACCCCTTTGACTTTTCCCAGCTGCCACAGCCAGGCTGGAGGAGAAGCTTGCCCACGTGGAGAAGTATGAGATGGTGACACCACACAAGGTTCTGGTGCCTCGGGGGAAGAGGGACCTCTCTGGGCCACTGGTGAGTAGCATTGCCTTCCATATACTGGCTTGGCAAAACTGCTCTCTCTGAGGGACTGTGAGGGTGGGGTGCTACCAGCAGAGACCCTTGGCCCAGCACTGGGCTTAGAGCTAGATCCCATTAGCCCTGTGCCAGAAGAATGACCTGCTGCACCTTTTCTTTCATTGCTGCCATCCCAGAGGATAGAAATCTTGAAGTGGTTGATCAGCTCAGCTTCCCTGGGCTGTTTAGGGTCAAAATAGGAACTGCAGATGGCAAGATGTACTCTTGGAGAGAGAGAGGGCTGCTTTCTCCAATGCTTTCTTCAGAGACATAACCCTGTGGCACCACCTCTTAGAGTGATCTTGTGACACCCAGTCTTGGCTTCAGAGGGATTAGGAAAGCCTCATGGTGCTGTAAGCACTTTTCTTGCTGCATTTGCTAAAGTTGGGGGGTTTTTTTCATCCTTTGGGACAGGGAAGTAACAGTCAGAATATTGTAGCAACCCACATAAAAGCAAGCTAGTGTTATTTTTCTTAGGAAACCTTGTAATTTGGGGAAAGGAATGAGGACTCAGGAGTTTTGAGGGTTGACATCCACAGAATATCATCCTTGACCTCAAAGATGTTTTCTTCATTATCTTGAAGTTCAGCCCAATATGTAGGTTCATTTTCTAGGACTAGAAGGCATCTGATGAGGTGGAGGGGCTGGGGACATTTATTTCCTACTAAAATCTTTTAATCCATGGTCATTGGTGATTCAAACCCTTTCTGATCAACTAGCTTCAGAAACACTCCCTGAAAGCATCTGTTTTCTCTGCTCTAGAAACCTAAACTTGTCCACGAGATAAACATTCTCCAGGATATTTAGAGATGCCATCTGTGCTGGCTATACCAGGTGGCTCTGTACCCATCTTCCTGCAAAGGGGACCTCACCCATCTCATGGTCCCTCTGCTTTCCTTGGCAGGGGAGCAGGTATCTGCCTTAAGCTGTGTCCTTTGGGACAGCCATGGGTAGTGTCTGCTGGGTGCTACTTGGTCTTGAACTGGGAGGTTCTGGGACCTCCCAGACCTCCTGTGTTGAGGGTTTGAGGTCTCATGACTCTCAAGCCATTTTCCTCCTCTTCCACAAAAGCTGGATTTGCTCTCCCAGAAACCTGGGTGGGGAAGAGGTTCTCAGCAAGGCTTGACCACCACCAAGCCTCTCTTTGAAGAGGAGACAGGTAGCTGGACAGGCATTTTCTGTGCCACCTCCTCCTGTGGCAGTCTCTGGCTGGGATGGGCATGGGCCAAGAGCTGGTTTCTGGGTCAGAGCAGTTGGAACACATGGGGTTGGTCCAGTGGAGCATCTGCCAGGCTTGAAGCAAACCAGCTCCCCTGTGGCTTTGCTTAAATAAAAATGTTTAGCCCTGCAGACAGGGTGGACACCTTGGTCCTGCAGCACAGGATCTCTTGGGATGCCAGCCTTCCCACAGGCTGTGGTCTTCTCCTCCCACCTGCCCTTAGCAGGGACATGACAGGCCACGTGAGTTCTTCACAGAAAGGGACCTGAAATAGAGCAAGAAGGGCCTTCGACAAGATTTATAGTTGCACGCTCTTGGTTGCACAAGTGCCATCTCTCTCTTGCTATGGAGCTCCAGCATTTTGAAGAGCTGCTTGGAATGGGAAGGTGCGTTCCAGCCCTTGTAAGCCCCTGGTGCTGCAAACAGCTGGCTTCTCCTCCAGCAGCCCCCATGCTCACACCCTCCCCACTGCATCACAGAGCCGGATGATGCAAAGAGGCAAGTCCTTTTGCCTGGGTGGAGGCAGCCCAGCTCCTGCTGGCCCAGCCTGGGGCTCTGCAGGATGCAGCAGGATGTTGCAGGGTGAGCCGTGGAACTGGGTGGAGCAGAAGCAAGGGATGGTGGTGGCACAGAGACCTGCTTTCTCCTCCTCTCCTGTGCCTCAGCTTCTCCATGGAGCAAGGAGCCCCATCGTTAATGTGCTGCAGGGACCTGTCGCATCTTCCCATACAGGGAAGAAATACCTGTGCTGGGGTGGGATGGTGGCATCAGATCCTGATGCTCTGCAGGTTCTCTGGGTCTGGGAAGAAATCCCTCCTGACTGGGTGCTGTGGCCAGGAGGGCTCTGCTTGGCTTGCTCAGCCCTGCCACAGGGTCAGCTTTATCAGGACTCATTTTTACTTGCCCTGAGGTTGTCTCCAAGAGACTGTCTCTGACCCACCACACCCTTCCAATTGCTTTCCTGCCATTCTTTGAGACTTCTGGCTCTGGTGCTGCCAGCAACAACAAAGCCTGGCTATGTTGACATGGCTATGACATGGGATGGCCACATGGGGTGGGAGATGCTGGTCATTGGAGAAGACACTGCTGGGAAGCCATGAATATGCCAGCACATGGGACTGCCCGGCTGCCCCACAGGTGGTTGGAACCTAATGTCAGGTTGGAGACAAAAAACTGGGTGGAACTGAGGGCAACCAAGTGACGCGCAAACCCTCTTACCTGACCCTGCTGGAGCTAAGTCAGCAGGACTTTCTTCTCAGCCGCAGCTCCTGCCACATCCTCCCCCTGGGAATGCTGAGCCATCCTATGACTGCCCAGGGAGAGGCTGCACACCTCACCCAGGAGGAATGCTGGCCCTGCAGGAGATTTTTGCTTTGCCTTTTGCTCAGCTGTCCACCCCAGGATCCTGTAAGGGCTGAGGATGTGCCCTCAGGAGAGGTTTCTGCGCTGAGGTGGTCCCTGGTGCCAATGGTGCAACCTGATACAGTGCAGCAGGCAAGGGACAGTTGTACCTCTTGGTGGCCCTGGTAGGATGGGATCTCTGGAGGGCTGTAGCCCAACTCTTGCAGCTGGAGATTGCAAAGTAGCCCAGAGGGAAACACTTCTTCTGGAGGGACATCTCCACCCTGGGGGTTGAGGGCTCTGCTGGACTGAGCCACACCCACCCCGACCCAGTCCATAGGGACTGGTGGTTGGACTTGAGTTGCCTGGAGGTCCCTTCCGCCAGTCAGGGTCTGGCACATGGTACTGCCAAAATCTACAGTATCAGAGAACCAAAAGAAGGTTGATCTCTAACTGAGCTGTTGCTGGTTAGATGGATCAGAGATAAGGAAGTCTCTGCTCTTTGTGGTTCAGCCCATGAGTAAGAGCTCAGCTCAGTCCCCAAAAAAGGAGCTTTTTTGATTGATGAGTAGGAAACCTCTGCAGTGTGTGTCAGAGACAGGAAACCAGACTTTGCTGACTCTGTTCCACAGCTGGTGACCTCTTCCTCATCTCGAGATGTTCTGGGGTTGGCTTTACTGCCCGCATGCTTGCTTGCTGCTCTCCTGATTTCCTGTGTCTTTGCTGGTTGCCTCCAGGCTCCCTGTCCCACAGTTGCCTTCCCATGGGGCACTGGCACGTCCTTTCCAGGCAGGTCCTCTTTTCTGTAGCTCTTGCTGCTGGTGATGGTGGGTTTGTGGCTCCTGGTGATGGTGGGTTTGTGCTATCTTTGCTGCAGAGCATCTACCCGGACCTTGTTCTCTACAACATCCGTGCTGAAGGCAGAGACTACCTCCTTTGGCTGGAGAAGAACAAGTGAGTGTGGGTGGGTACAGCGGAATGTACTGGGGAGACTTTATTTCTTCCCCTTGCCATGAACATCACCTCTCCAAGGTCCAGCATGACCACACTGGTGATCCAAGCCCTCAGCCCACACCCTTGCTAGCAAAATACCTCTCTTTTTTTCCTCCTTGCCAAACCCACCCAGGGAGGTCAAGGGCTCACCAAGCCCAACCTGACCTACCTCATCCCCAGAGCTTCAGCATTCCCTCCCCAAAAGTGGGCTCACAGCTGATGCCGCTTCCCCACCCTGCAGGGAGCTGCTGGGGCAGCACTACACTGAGACACACTACTCAGCCGAGGGTGTGGAGGTGACAGAGAAGCCAGACACTCAGGTACAGAGCTGTCTCTGGGCACAGCAGTTCCCTTGCTCCCTTGGGGTCCCACCATGCAGACTCCCTGGTCACCTTGCTTCTCCTCCTCTGTCTTGGGGGCAGGATCACTGTTTCTACCAGGGCCATGTGCAAGGACACACCGACTCAGCTGCCAGCATCAGGACCTGTGGTGGGCTCAGGTAGGGTCTGGCACTGCTGCTCCTGGGGACACTGGGGGGAGTCACAGGGTGCTGGTGTCACCCGGCCCCACCAGAGCTGGGCTGGTGGAGAGAGGGCTCAGCCCTCCCTCGAGGAAGGGAAGGTGTCCCTTGTCTTGCTGGCAGTGGGAATGCTGACCAGCCTGGCTCATGTCTGGCAGGAAAGGCTCGTGGTGCCACTTCTGGGGCTTAGACTGATGAGGTGGGATGAAGCTGGAAGCCTGAGCAGGGCAGAAGGTCTGGGCAGGAGTGCCCTCCTTGGGCAGAAAGGCACAGCTTGTCCCAGATCCCTCCTCTCTTCCCAGGGCAGGCTGGCCCAAGCTCACAAAGGGGTGTGTGCAGGGCCATGCATGGGCTTGCAGGCAGCTGCCATCTGCTCCAGGCCATGCTGAAGTCCTTGAGCTGGTGACCAAGTGCCTGGCCAAACACAGGGGCTCCAGGAAAGCTGGGGAGGGGCTTGGGACAAGGGTGGGGAGGGATGGGATGAGGAGTGATGGATTAAAACTGGAAGCAGGGAGATTTAGGATAGACATCAGGAGGAAATTCTTCAGTGTGAGGCTGGTGAGAGCCTGGCCCAGGTTGCCCAGGGAAGCTGTGGCTGCCCCATCCCTGGCAGTGTTGAAGGGCAGGTTGGATGGGGCTTGGAGCAGCCTGGGCTGGTGGGAGGTGTCTATGCCCATGCAGGGGGGGGTTGGAACTAGCTGGTGGAGACTTTGGCTCTCGCAGCTTGTGAATTCTTGGTACACCTGATATCCTTGTGAAGCAGGAAGACAAGATGTGCCAGGGCAGGGGAGGAGACAGGGCTGATAGTCGGGACCCATGGTGCCCCTAGCAGAAAGCATCTGGAAGGCTAGAGCTGCTCAGCTGCCTTAAACCTGGCCTGGCCACATAGCAAACTTCTAGCTGGATCCTGGGCCGTTTCAGGACACTCCCCTTGCTGCCAGGCAGCAATGCTTCAGTTTGCTCCCTCCAAGCCCAGCAGCTGCTTTCCAGCCTCTCCAACGGGCGATTTGTTCAACCACAGCTTCTACAGCTTCTGAAAGCAGAAGCTGTGAACGTGCACTGCCCAAGGACTGCTCAGGGCTTTTTTGCACGGAGTGTGGTTCATCCACATGGCCAGAAGGACCCAGCTGTCATGTCCTGCTGGTGACCTGCAGCTCATCCAAGCTGCCAGTGGGAACCACGCTGGGGTGGGGTAGTTTCCTTGAGAGATTTAGCAGCTCTGTTTGTTACCACCAGGCACTTGTGGAGGTGCATGTAGGGTCTGTCTGTGTCTTGCTGGACATCTCCCCACCTTGCCCTCTCCCTTTGCAGTGGGTTTTTCCGGGTGAATGAGACCACCTTCCTGCTGGAGCCCCTGGAGGAGGACGTGGCCGGCCAGCACGCCGTTGCCTGGCAAAAAGAAAAGCAAAGCATGTGGTGCTACAGGCCAGCTCTTACTCCCTCTGCCCACTGGGTGCTGCCTGAGCTGGTGCTCATTCACCTGAGCTGGGCCGGGGTAAACCCAGGCACAGATCCAGGCTGGGCAGAGAGTGGGTGGAGAGCAGCCCTGAGGAGGGCTTGGGGGTGTTGGGTGATGAGAAGCTCAACATGACCCAGCACCATGTGCTGGAGCCCAGAAACCACCTGTGTCCTGGGCTGCATCCCCAGCAGTGTGACCAGCAGGGCCAGGGAGGGAATTGTCCCCTCTGCTCTGCTGAGACCCCTGCAGGGCTGGGGCCAGGGCTGGGGTCCCCAACACAGGAAGGACATGGAGCTGTTGGAGAGAGGCCAGAGGAGGGGGGCAAGCCCAGGCACAGATCCAGGCTGGGCAGAGAGTGGGTGGAGAGCAGCCCTGAGGAGGGCTTGGGGGTGTTGGGTGATGAGAAGCTCAACATGACCCAGCACCATGTGCTGGAGCCCAGAAACCACCTGTGTCCTGGGCTGCATCCCCAGCAGTGTGACCAGCAGGGCCAGAGAGGGGATTGTCCCCTCTGCTCTGCTCTGGGGAGACCCCCCTGCAGGGCTGGGTCCAGCTGTTGGGTCCCCAACACAGGAAGGACATGGGAGCTGTTGGAGCAAGTCCAGAGGAGGCCATGGAGATGATCCAAGGCCTGAATCAGCTCTGCTCTGGAGCCAGGCTGGGAGTGTTTGGACTGTTCAGCCTGGAGAAGAGAAGGCTCCAGGGAGACCTTAGAGCACCTTCCAGTGCCTGAAGGGGCTCCAGGAAAGCTGGGGAGGGGCTTGGGACAAGGGTGGGGAGGGATGGGATGAGGAGTGATGGATTAAAACTGGAAGCAGGGAGATTTAGGATAGACATCAGGAGGAAATTCTTCAGTGTGAGGCTGGTGAGAGCCTGGCCCAGGTTGCCCAGGGAAGCTGTGGCTGCCCCATCCCTGGCAGTGTTGAAGGGCAGGTTGGATGGGGCTTGGAGCAGCCTGGGCTGGTGGGAGGTGTCTATGCCCATGCAGGGGGGGGTTGGAACTAGCTGGTGGAGACTTTGGCTCTCACAGCTTGTGAATTCTTGGTACACCTGATATCCTTGTGAAGCAGGAAGACAAGATGTGCCAGGGCAGGGGAGGAGACAGGGCTGATAGTCGGGACCCATGGTGCCCCTAGCAGAAAGCATCTGGAAGGCTAGAGCTGCTCAGCTGCCTTAAACCTGGCCTGGCCACATAGCAAACTTCTAGCTGGATCCTGGGCCGTTTCAGGACACTCCCCTTGCTGCCAGGCAGCAATGCTTCAGTTTGCTCCCTCCAAGCCCAGCAGCTGCTTTCCAGCCTCTCCAACGGGCCATTTGTTCAACCACAGCTTCTACAGCTTCTGAAAGCAGAAGCTGTGAACGTGCACTGCCCAAGGACTGCTCAGGGCTTTTTTGCACGGAGTGTGGTTCATCCACATGGCCAGAAGGACCCAGCTGTCATGTCCTGCTGGTGACCTGCAGCTCATCCAAGCTGCCAGTGGGAACCACGCTGGGGTGGGGTAGTTTCCTTGAGAGATTTAGCAGCTCTGTTTGTTACCACCAGGCACTTGTGGAGGTGCATGTAGGGTCTGTCTGTGTCTTGCTGGACATCTCCCCACCTTGCCCTCTCCCTTTGCAGTGGGTTTTTCCGGGTGAATGAGACCACCTTCCTGCTGGAGCCCCTGGAGGAGGACGTGGCCGGCCAGCACGCCGTGTACAGAGCAGCCCACCTGCGCGGCAAGCGCGGCACGTGCCCCCAGCCTGGGGCCAGCCTGCAGTATGACCATGAACCCCAAATCCCCGCTGCCATGAAGCTCTACCACTGGGTCAGGGATTGCATTGCTTCTCCTTCCTGTAGGTGGGGTGGCGGGAACCTAAGGCCTGTGAAGTCCAGGAGAGGAATGGGGCTGTGCCACATCTCCTGGAGATGCTCCTCTCCCATGCCTTGTTGTTTGGGTACCTGAACAGAGGTTGCTCCTGCTGGCCTAGCTCCTGGTTGGACCAAGTCCTCAAATCCTGTACCATCAGCACGAGCATCCTCCTACCCCGTGAGCTCCGTGGTGCCCACAGAGTGCCTTGTCTTGTGCCTTATCCCAGTAGCAGGCTTGAGTTTTTCCTTTGTTGGAAGTTGTCTGAAACACCCAGCAAAGTAACAGCAGAGCTAGAAGATCTTCTAGCCTTGAATTAGCATCGGACCATGTCCTAAGATCCACACATCCCACAGGAGAGTCCAGGCGAGCTGGAGCCCCTCCTTGTGCTCACTTTCCTCTTCCCTTCCAGAAATCAGCTCCATTACACAAAGGTCCCCGGTATGTGGAGCTGGTCCTGGTGGTGGACAACAGGGAGGTAAGCTTGGCAGGGGCAAGCCAATGCCTGTATTTTCACTGTCATCTACTGCAGTGAGGAGGTGGAAGCCAGCCTGGAAAAATCTCTGTATCCTTCCCATAGTTCAGGAAGCACAAGGACTTGCGCACCGTGCAGAACCGCATGAAGGAGATCGTGAACCATGTTGACAAGGTCAGCCCAAGGGCCTGGACCTCCCTCACATGCCAACACAGGCATGAGGGCTGTGGAGGAGAGGTTGGCAATAGTAGGGTGATGGAGCTGATCTTAAGCCCATAGAAGGGATTCCACAGGGTGGCCAGTCCTCCTGGCCAGCAGTGTGTGTCAAGTGACCGGCAGCTCAGCACTGACACCTCAAGAGCTCAGTTGCCTCCCAGCTCTCCCATATGGGAAGGGGTTAGAAGTTTCTTCTTGAACTCCTTGGGAGCACATCCTGTAGCCACTCAAAGCTGGAGCAGGTGCTAACAAGGGGAGGCTGATGGAGGCAGTGCACCAAGGTGGGATTTCTGCTCACCTTGCTTCAGTCTCACTTTTTGGTCAACAGCATTGGACTGCTCCTGGCCAAGAAGGAGCCCAGAAGTCCCAGGGTAAACCCTGTCTATGTGATCACCCCAGCTTGTGTTATTTATTGAAGGGTTGACAGAGCTGATATTGCACGTTGAGGTGGGATCTTGGCTGTGGCTGTGGTTCCTCAAGGGAAGTGGGACCTTCCCTCTGCTAGTACAGCTCAATTCTCAGGGATGTCTCCTGCCCCAGCTTTATCAGCCCCTTCGCCTGCGGGTGGCCTTGATCGGCTTGGAGGTGTGGAGTCACAGGGACAAGATCATGGTCAGTCCCAACCCCGAGCTGACTCTGGACAACTTTCTCCACTGGCGGGAGGTAGAGCTGCTGCGGAGGAAGCCACATGACAACGCCCAGCTGATCACGTAAGGGGCTGGGGGAGCACCACCTTGCTGCCCTTGCAGCTCTGCTGCTGCCTGGGCCACACATGGCATCTGCATCCCATAGGGGCATAGACTTCCATGGCACCACCGTAGGGCTCGCCAAGAAGCTTGTGATGTGCACCAGGGACTCAGGTGGTGTCAACCAGGTGGGTCCCACTCCTGGATGTGTGCCTGGAGGGCAGCAGGGTTCCCACCAGCTGCACTCTCTGCATTGTGTTTTCCACAGCGGGTCTCACCTCCACTGCTTTCCCCCTCCACAGCCTTAGGGCTGGATCTGCTTCCTGGCAGCTCCAGCCCTTGAGCAGATCACCCCCAGAGAAGTGTGGGGGCCTGTGGGGAAGCCTGTGTAGGGCTCTGATTAACTTGAGCCCTGAAGAACCTCCCAGACCAGCCATTCTGGCTGTGCTTCTCATCCATCCCCAGGGAAGGCATCCTATGCTGGAGCAGGAGTGGCTGGACATGTGGCTCTCCAGAACCACCACAAAGCATCGTTGCAGGATAGCTGCAACATCTAAGTGTCCTTACACCACTGAGACCCCAGCTAGAAGTCTTCAGGGGCCATGGGCCCAAATTCAGCTTTTGTCTTCTTTTACCTCAGCATAGCAGCATTAGGGAATGAATTGCAGATGGCATGAGCAGCTGAAGAGCCCCAGTGGGGCCATGGAGATGCTGCTGAGAGTATTTGAGCCACACTGCATCTCTTGTTCCACAGGACCATAGCATGAATCCTATTGGCGCTGCATCCACCATGGCCCACGAGATGGGGCACAACCTGGGGATGTCTCATGATGAAGACGTTGCTGGCTGCCGCTGTCATGTCCTCAAAGCTGATGGAGGATGTGTCATGGCAGCAACTGTTGGGTGAGTCTTGGAGCAAGTCCAGAGGAGGCTGTGGAGATGATCCAAGGGCTGGAGCAGCTCTGCTCTGGAGCCAGGCTGGGAGAGTTGGGGTGTTCAGCCTGGAGAAGAGAAGGCTCCAGGGAGACCTTAGAGCACCTTCCAGTGCCTGAAGGGACTCCAAGAAAGCTGGGGAAGAGCTTTTTACAAAGGTGTGTAGTGAGAGGACAAGGGGGGGGAAGGGTTTTAAACTCAGAAGGGGAGATTTAGGTTAGACATTAGGAAGAAATTATTTGCTGTGAGGGTGGTGAGGCGCTGGCCCAGGTTGCCCCAAGAAGCTGTGACTGCCCCATCCCTGGAAGTATTGAAGACCAGACTTGGAGCAACCTGGTCTAGTGGGAGGTGTCCTTGCCCTTGTAGGGGGGTTGGAACTAGATGGAACTAGATGATCTTCAAGGTCCCTTCCAACCCAAACCAGTCTGGACATTCCATGAGTGAATGAGGAAGGGGAATATCCCTGGGCGGTAAATATCCTGAGGTGTCCTCCAGCACTGTCCTGATGGCATAAAGCCTGCAAGATGGTCAGGTCACAGGGATGGACACTTCACTTGAAAATTGGTGACCCTCCAGCTTCTCCTTGGTCTTGTGGCTAGAAGGGTCCTTGTGCTCTCACCTCTGCTCATGGCTGCTTGTTTCTGTGCCCCTTCAGCTTGGTGTACCCCAAGCACTTCAGCCGCTGCAGCGAGCAGGACATGTGGCAGTTCCTGGGGGGCCCCAGGACTAGCTGGCTGGCGGAAGGCCCCCAGGCCGAGGAGGAAAGTGTGGGAACCAGTTTGTGGAGAGGGGAGAAGAGTGTGACTGCGGCACACCAGAGGTAGGGACTTGGCATTCATACCCTGCAGAGGTTGTGCAAGGACACCTTGCTTTACAAGACTCATCTTCCTTATGTTCCTGAAGCTTCTGCTGAGGAATAACTTGTGGAGGACATTTGTTACATGGATGTGTGCCCCCCATTCATAGCTGGCTGTTTTTAGCAGGGAAGATGGACATTCCACCCAGCATGTTTTCCAAAGTTGATTCAAGGAGGGGGATATCACTGCCCTTTCAAGAGGCTTGCTCAGCTTTTCCTCATCCCTTGTAACCCATCATGGCATCCCAGTGGGGAGGTCTGAGACAAAGGGCCAGGCCATGTCTCTGGGATAAATCCCTGGGTCACAAGCTTGCTGTAGGACCTGGAGGGATGCTCCTCCAATACAGAAAGTACAGAGATCCTCTTGTGTTCTCCTTGGAGTTGTGCAAACGGTGCTACCAGAGAGCAGGGGCCCAGCTCAGGTCCCAGCTTCTGAGAAATCTCTTCTGTTAGCAATAGGGGTAGAAGTGGCAGGAACAGTTCACCCCAGGGGTGATGCTGTAGTTTTGCCCTAGTGCTCAGCCCGTGGTGGCCCTTGGCAACTGTCCCCCATCCCCAAGAAAGGAAGGAAAGAGTTTTCCAGGGGGCTCTCGGGAGGATTTTAGCCCCTCCCTGTCTCGCAGGAGTGCTCTGACCATTGCTGCAATGCCACCACCTGCCAGCTGAAAGAGGGAGCTGAGTGTGCACAGGGTGACTGCTGCCAGGACTGCAAGGTACTGCTGCCACCAGGGGTCCAGCTTGGTGAGGGGAGAGCTGGTGGGTGTGTGGTCCTGTCCTGGGCTCCAATGGAGTAGGGCAAGATGTATCCATTGACCTCTGTAGAGCCTGAGGGACCTCCATAGCATCCCACCAAGTGCCAAACACACCCAGTGGTTTGGGAGGGGTCATGGGTAGTCAGCATCCTGGATAGAAGTGTTTGGGAAGGTGAAGCAGCTTCTGTTTCTACCATCCTGGAGCCCAGGTCCCGTCACTCTGTTAGGTTAAGTGCAGGATGAAAGGTATTGAAGAACTGGGCCATGTTCAGAAGAGATCAGCATGACCCATTCCTTGGGAAACCAACCTGCCTATAAGTTGAGAGGTCCATGCATTGGTTCCTGCACGTGGGCATAAGAAATGCCTCAGTGTGATGAGACAGGGCTGGAAGAGGAGAGCAATGAGGCTGGTGAAGGGACTAGAGGGGAAGTCTTCTGAGGAGAGGCTGAGGGAGCTGGGGTTGTTTAGCTTGGAGAAGAGGAGGCTCAGGTGGGACCGTCTCACTCTCTATAACTACCTGAAGTAGTTGTTGTGGTCAGGTGGGGTCAGGCTCTTCTCCCAGGCAAGTAGTGCCAGGATGAGAGGGCCTGGCCTGAAGCTGCTCCAGGGGAGGTTTAGGTTGGGTATTAGGAAGCACTTCCCATGGAAGGGTGATCAGACATTGGGATGGGCTGCCCAGGGAAATGGTGGAGGCACCAGCCCTGGAGGTGCTCAAGGACAGGCTGGATGTGGCACTTGGTGGTGTCAGGTCATAGGCTGGACTTGATCTTAAAGATCTTTTCCATCCTTGGTGATTCTTTGAGTCTGTGGAAGAGGACCTTGGGGCAAGACCAGAATGGAAGGACCACACAAGGTGTTGCCCATGGGGAGAGACTTAATTATGGGAAGCTCTAGTTTCAGTCCTGATGCTGTGTCACATCCTGTGCAGCAGCTCAGTCCATAGCAAATGTTTTTGTGCCAGAGCAGCTCAAGCTGCCACGTCTGGATCTGTCAGGAGTCAGGAGATGTTCCTGAAGACCAGGGCGCTGCCTGACTGTGGTGCCCAGGTGGGTCTGAGGATGAGGGAGCCTTGAGGCAGCGGCCATGTCCCCTCCTGTGTGCAGGTGAAGGCGGCTGGCGTGCTCTGCCGGGCCAGCAAGAACGAATGTGACCTGCCCGAGCGCTGCAACGGCCTCAGCCCCAGGTGCCCAGAGGACGTCTTCCAGGAGAACGGCATCCCCTGCCAGCACGGCACCGGCTACTGCTACAACGGGGCCTGTCCCTCACGCGGCGAGCAGTGCCGTGCGCTCTGGGGCACAGGTAGCTGTCCCCCTGCCCACCCTCCTCACCCCGAGGTTCGGGTGATGTGCCTGGACCTCCCTGGGCTGGGTCCTCGCTCAGCGCTGTCCCCTCCTGCATCTCTAGCAGTGGTGCCACACCTGCTGGCCCCAAAGCATGGCCACAGGTGCTGGTGCCACCAGCTTGCTGTGGCTCTGACTCCACCTGGCCCTTTGTGTGTGCCATAGAGGCCCAGGTGGCCCCTGATGTCTGCTTTAAGCACAACAGTGAGCACCATCTTCACCTCCACTGCCTGACCGAGTACGGGAAGCAGCCCTGTAGTCCCAAGTAAGGAGCCTGGGACAGAGGCTGGGAGGTGGTGTCCCTGCCACCTGCCCTGTGCCACCCTGTCACTGTGCTCACGGCTGTGTCTCCTGCAGGGACGTGAAGTGTGGGACACTGCTGTGCCTGAGTGACAATGCCACCCCCATCCTTGGTGGTGGCTCCTACTCCCTGTTCTTCGGTCACGTCAAGTGCAAGGCAGCCATCGCCAGCAGCGATGCCAATGAGGTGGTGGCCAAGCTCAGGCTGGTGCCCACTGGCACCAAGTGTGGCGAGGAGATGGTGAGGACTCTGGTGACCATGCTGGGGTGGCAGACAGGGGGGTGTCCACTGGCTGCAGTGACCCGGGGCAGCCTCAGAGCCCCCCTGCCTGCCTCCAGGTCTGTTATGCTGGGCGCTGCCAGAGCCTTTTGGTCTACGGCAACAAGAACTGCTCGGCCAAGTGCAACAACCATGGGGTAGGCAGTAGGATTGTCCCCTCCCAGAGCAGCCCCAGGGCCAGGCAGCTGGGATGGCCCCTATGGTGTGCCCACCACCATGGTGCTTCCCTCCTTTCGCTCAGGTGTGCAACCACAAGCGGGAGTGTCACTGTGAGCTGGGCTGGGTAGGGCCCCACTGCCAGCAGGAGATCTCAGGGATGGTGGCAGGTACAGCATCCCCCGCACCCGGCTGGCACCAGCTCCCTCAGCTAGGCAGTGTGGAGCTGGTGGATGCTGCTCCATCCCCGCTGTTGCCCCAGGCACAGGGGGTGCCCATCCTGATGACCTCTGGTTCCGCACAGGGAGCAGCAGGGTGGTGATGCTGGCAGCGCTGGCCGTGCCAGTGCTCGGTGCCATCCTGCTGGGCAGTGCTGTGGTGCTCCTCAGGGGCAGGGCAGCCAGACACCACCACAAAGGGTAATTTCCCCCCCTCCCCTGCCCCCCAGTGGGGTTGAGCCATGGCTCAGGGGTGCCTGGAGCAGCCCCCCACTGTCCCTGTGCCCCACAGGATCCCCAGCAGACCTGCTGCTGGCCTCGCCAACCCGCTCTT